TCAAATCTGCCGATGCATTTTTGAAAGGGCTGCGTGATTTTTTTATGACCATAGCAAAACTGTACCGATTCTCATGGTAAGGGAAGAATAATAGAGAGTCATGTCACAGGGTGATAAATAGATGTCTACACAGCCCAGCAAGGGATGCCCCACACACAGATGACACTGAAGAATGGCTAACAAGCACCATGGGCTGCTTGATAATTTTTCACTTTTCTGATCCATCAACAAATGGTTCCTGACAGTCAGAACAGTTCTGAGTCGATGAAAGATCTTATTTAGCATGGCAGATCCTGCCTTTTTAAGAGGCATAATGGAGGATGAAAGCAATTGTGCTGCCTCCATCTGAAATCCCTGTTTTTCTGCCATGGGGCTGAGTGTTTCTTTTTCCAAATTTGCAGCCAGCCTGTACCAGGTTACTTCGGTGCTGACCAAACTCTGGACTTCATGCTGCAGGCTCAGACCGGAGATGGGAACAAAAAGGTAAAACAAGTGAAGGCAAGGAGGGCAGTGGCAGCATAGGAGCAAGGGAGGCTGAGTAGAAAGGGACAATCATTCCCTGCTCCTTGCTCTTCCCAATTCTATGGCTGACACAGATCACAGGCATGAAAGAGAACAGCACAGGCCATGCCGCTGCAAGGTGGCTCTCTGTGCACCCACACCTGGACACCCGTTAATGGTAGATTTCTCCCTTGCCTTGAGGTGGTGGTGATAGATGGCAAATCCGGCCTCCCTGTTTGGAATCGGGAACTCCCATGGCATAAGCAACAACTCGATGCACTGTCAGTCATGACTTTGGACAAGAAGTCTGTTTTTCTCTTCTGGGCTGATGAAGCACAGCCTGTATTACAAAGTTTGGTGAGCAAGCATCCTTTCTTCACTTTGAAGTTTCTCTGTGAGGCACATGGAGTCTTGGTCTTTTATTCCTAATGTAACTGAACTTAAAACCTGCCATGTAAGAAGGCTGTCGAGGACATCTTTCCTCTTGCTTTGACACTCTGACTTCTCTGCGCCTGAACACAGGACTTTCTGTGTGCAAATTCTTCACCAGAAAGCTTTATTGACAGAAAGTTCATGTCCACAAAACCAACACTTTCTGCCTGAATTTCATTTTTTTCTGCCAACACTTGAGATATTTTTACTGCAGATCTGTTCCCAGCCCCAGAGTGCTGCTTCTCTGCATGCAGGCACACAAGTCAGCATGGAGATGTAAACTTCCAGACTGTAGCCTCACCCATCAGGCTGGCTTTGACAGAGCCAGATCTGAACCTTACCAAACAGGAGCTGTGGAGCAAATTCTGTTTTAGAAAAAAAACTTTTCAGATGTCATCTCTGTAAAACCATAGAGTTTTTGTTTCTCTGATCATGTAAAGACAGCCCAGTGTCAGAAAACTTTATTTCTTTGGCAAAGCTAGACTCCTCTTTGCTAGCCAGCTTTAATGTTTTTGTCTGTCCTTCATTCCAACAGCAACCTGGTCCCAGACCTGAGCGCCCAGGGCTGCACCACCTCTATCTCCTCCATCCTGTTTTTCCTACAGTCCTTTTGGACCTCACCAATGCGACAGACAAAGTCATTGCTTCAGCAGGTGAGTACAAATGGAGGAGAAACTGCCTAGGTTAAAAGAAATATGGGGAGAGAGGTAGCTGTGAGAAACAGTGAGGTGTAGTTGTGCCTTTAAAGGTCACACCTGAGATCCAGCACATGTAGGCCAGCAATGCTATGTAAGATTCATCTTCCTCCTAAAGGAAGGTCCTGTGCAACACCTCCTTCGCAAATAAGACCCACCAAGTTTCTTGCACATGTTTAAGCAAGGAAAGGTGTGAGTTAGTTTTCATGCATATTTCACTCCAGAGAAGTTCCCTGGCTTTCCATGGAGCTGTTTGTGATTTAAGGCAGTGCATGAAGAATCGCTATGAAACTTCACTGTCGTCTCAGATACACTTCTGCCTTTGTTGGCCATATTCTCCTGCTTTCTGGGATAGCAGATTTGCTGTTTCTTCTTTCTTTTTGAAAAGAGGAATCAAAAATATTTAAACTTGTGTTTTCAGGGGAAAGCAGATCTGGATTTAACATCTGTGCAAGATTGTACAGTCTCTGTTGTATTTCCTTGCTGTTGCCAAAGCAGTTCAACCAACAGCCAGCCTGTTGAGCATGGTGGGATGTGGGATTAAAGATCAGTTCATCCAGCACCGAGTCCAGTAGGCCAGGAAGCATAGAAAAGCTGCTACATTGTGATACATCTAAATGGATTTGTATCAAACACACAGCTCAGTCAAGAACAAATAGAACATAATTTTTACAAGGATTTATTAGAAACCGGGTTTTCTGAAGTCTGTACATATCATTCTCGAGTGACTGGAGTGAACTGACTTGCCCGTGCTTTACCAATGTACCCTTCTAGAGAGGTAAAACAATATCTGCTAACAGGTTTGGGAAAGAAAGCTCTCTGAAAGTGAACTGCATTATTCAAATACATGCATCTCCTATGCTAAGCTCAAAAACAACACTTGGAACATTTCTGATCTAAATTTCAGTTTATTTACATGGAAAATTTTTAACTTAAAATAATTTTTCCTGATAAACTAAGGTACATGCAATTGTAAAGTCAGACTGAATATAGAATCATAGGATCACAGAATGGTTTGGGTTGGAAGGGACCTTAAAGATCGTCTAGTTCCAACCCCCCTGCAATCAGCAGGGACACCTTCCACTAGATCAGGATGCTCAAAGCCTTTTCCAACCTGGCCTTAAACACTTCCAGGGAGGGGGCATCCACAGCTTCTCTGGACAACCTGTTCCAGTGTCTGACCACCCTCATAGTAAAGCATTTCTTCCTAATATCTAATCTACATCTACCCTCTTCCAGTTTAAAACCATTACCCATTGTCCTATCACTGCCTGCCCTTGTAAAAAGCCCTTCTCCAGCTTTCTGGTATACCCTCGGTTCAGTGGATATTTTAATTGAGCAAAGGTTGTAAGATTTCTTTTTGAAGAAACATAATAATTTACTCCTGACCAGTATTTTCTCTCTGTTTTGTGATGCACCAGTTGGAATTAATGATCTCCAGAAGGATGCATTTCACATCACCGTTACAACAACTGCAACCTCTGAAGACCAGCCAGGATTTCTCTCAGTCAGCAAACTGAGCCTGAAGTGGGCCATGATGAGTCAAAGTCGAATGGTGTGGCTCAAGGACACCACCACTCCCAAAATCAGCCGAGGAGAAGTGAGGCGATTTCTTGCCCGGCTGAAATTTGTTGACTTTCCTCAGAAGGTGAGATTGTACAGGAATCTCTAATGAAATCCAAACCTTTGAAAGCATCTGATCTCTTCCCTACTGACACAGTTAGGTGCTCTTTGCGATGCAAAGAGACTGGTGGGATGCAAAGAAGCAATTTGCAAGATGACTGCCTGCCCCTTTGGGCAGATTGTGAGGCCCAGCTGTACTTTGTCAGTTGGACAAGGAGGGGGATCTCAGAAAGAACCACAGATTATGTTCATAAGGGACTGACAGACTCACAGAGGGAACAGAGAGGTGGGAAAGAAAGCATTTGTTTTGACATGGGCAAACAAGGGTCCTCCATATAGTGGTGCCCAGGTTCAGTTGCTGACCCGTGAATTACCACTTTTCTCTACCAGACTGGAAGATAATATGGTTTTGGCTTTAGTTTTTATTTTCCTTTCCTTCTCTAGCTCTAGCCTGGTGGTTCCTCAGATTTTGCCTGTATGGGGAATACAGGAAGCTGCTCTGTGGATCTTCAGGAAAACTGCTGTGTAGTGGGAATGGGGGCTAAAAGCACTTCCCCTTTCTTCAGCTCTCTCAGAATGCTGCTGGAGGCAAGTTTGTCCTAGGCAGGCCTGTCATGTACCAGAGGAACCTTGCTCAGCATCTCCCCCTCCATATGCCGTTCTTGCATGCTTCCTGCCAGGTAACACAGAAATGTGAATTTAGAATTTATACACACACACACACACACACACACACATATATATATATATATAAAACCAGGGGGTTTATATATATATATATATATATGTATCTATTTATACAATATATGTATATTTTTTGTATGTTTAATTTATGAATAAGATTTAGGACACTCCTTTTTATGTCCAAACAGTATTCCCAGGCAGTCAAACAAGCTCTAGGCCTAGAATGGGCCATTGTGACTCAAGGCAAAAGGTGTGGCTAAAGGACACCACCCACTTTAATCTTTATATTTTTGGAGAGAAACCTCTATCTGGCTCCTGCAGGGCTAGTCTTGTCTACAACCTTTCCTGTGCTCTCAGCCCTCTTCTCCATTCTGTCCCCACGGCATTTGCCAGCCCTTGCACTTATGTATTTCTTTGCCCATTCCCAAGTTCAAAACAGGTTAATGTGGGTGATGTAGAAGCGGAAGGTTCACATCTTATTTCTGTCCATCCCTAAGCTTTTTATGAACCCAGAGTGTTCACTGTAACGTCACACTGCAGTCCAATGGGCTGAGTCCCCCTTTGCAAATGCATCACAGCGCTTTTGGGATAGACTGTAAAGACAGAAGGAATAGACTTCTGATAGAATAATCTATGTGATGATAGACTGCGCTGTAAAGATCACACTAGATCCAGTCACAGCAAAGCCGATTCTCACACTGCTGCATCAGGGTTGAGAGGTTCAGACAGAGGCAGAACTGTAAAACTTTTCTGTGCATTTTATCCCTATTCTGGGTTCAATATTACCATTTCCTTGCCAGCCCAGCCCTGTGTGTAGTTCCAGGAGAAACAGAGTACCCCAGGGCACGTTTGCTCACAGTGTGTTTAGTGCTCTTGACTGTGCCTGTTGAGTGTGCCATCAGTCTCCTGTGTTGTAGTTGCAGAGCATCTACATGAATTTTCTTGTAATAGAAATGGTCATATAAAAAGCAACCACTTTGGTGCATCAGCAGCTCCCCACAGTGCAGGGCAACAACATAGGAACTATTTTCCCTTGGGAGGTTGGACTAGATGACCTTTAAAGGTTCCTTCCAACCCAAACTATTCTATAATTCCCAGTATGCCTTTCTAGGTCTGACCTTTGACATTAGGCAGAGCCAGGCTGAGATGAGGATTGCAAAAGACTATTGTGTCATCCTGCTGGCACATGCCGCTCCAGCCTTCCTGCGCTTCCCTGTGAGTGGTGAGGCAATGGCAGGACTTTGACCTTTCCTCCAGATGGGCACATCTAGCATAGGTTTGCTGTTCTGGACTCTTGACACCTCTCCTTGCTCTAACACCCTCTCTCTTCTCCATCCCTGCATCTCCATATAAAGCTTCCAGGATAGCCCTTCAGGATTAGCTGCAAGCCCCAGGGCTGGTCCTTGGGCCCTGCTCTCTTAATGTCAGAGCCTGTGAACAGTTTGTATATGTTTGATGGTATTTTTGTGTAAATAGCTTTGTATATATTAGCACCACTGTAGCAACAGCTCTAGGCCTGGCATTTTCCTCCAGACAGGGATTAGTGTTTATAATACATAGTCAGTTAATATAGCTGTGTAATGTGAGGACCAGTAACATATGAGGATTAAACAGGAGTGCCCCTTCCCTCCTGCGTAGCCACCACCTTGCTGGGAAAGGTGAAGTGGCTGTTAGCTGAAGTAGTTATTCTCCTGAGGTTTTTCCTGAGAGAAATGATATTCAAGTGCAGTGATGTTAGCTCCTCCATAATGTGAATTCACCCTGCACACACACACACACACACACACACACACACACATCCCCGGTGTGAATAAAGAGTCTGTCTGTATATTGTCGGGAAAATGTATTTGAACTGTGAACTGCAGTGGAGCAAATAAATACTGTGTACAGCATCAGTGTGTCATGTGAACCAGTGTTTCACCTTTGAGAGATTATGAGTTTGCTTGATTTGGGGATCGTTTGCAATATTTTTACAATGGGGAAAAGAGGACAGATTGAGAAAAACAACGGAAAAAGCAAAAGCCCAGCCAAGAATTCTTTAAGGTTGTGCAGAAGCACAGTAGAAAGAGACAAACATGAAAGTACCTCAGAATGGGAGATTTTGGGGGAAAAGGCAAGAAGGGACTACGTGGGAGTCATTACAAATAGGAAGAGGTGCAGAGAGGTGTCTGAAAGCAACACCCCATTCCTACTGCAGCAGCACTTCTAATTTGAGTGCAGGGAGGAGGTCAGCCCTGGAAATGAATAAATAGGGTGTTCTGAGATTATTACATGCAATCAATATGAGCACTGATGCCCTTCACCATAGCACTGAACCAGGGGAGGGTGCTGGAAGGTCAATGTAACACCACCCGAAGTGGCCCAGCACTGCAATTTGCCAGCTGGATGGCACTGACTATCTATTCCTGGGTGCAATACTGCTGGGATTAGGAAAACTGCCTCACATCTGTCTGAAAGAACTTGGAAACAGCTGGCACCATCAACATGTCCCTCCCTTTCATCGTTCCCAGCTGAGGACACCCAGTGATCAGGAAGGACCCACCCTGCTACTGTTGGCACTGCTGTTGCCCTGGCCCAGTGCCCACCTTCTCTTCAAACTCCCTGAATGGTAAAGGAAGGAAGAGCTCTGCAAGAACTTGCTAACAGTGGTGCTAAGTGTTTGGTTCAGAGCTCTTGCACCTCCTAAACCCCACTGCTCTGTCCCTGCATACTCATCCCTAACAGTGATCCTCCCCGATTGTCTGTCCCAAGACCTCATCCAGTTCCAGCTCTGGTTCCCGCCGTAGCACTTTTTTCTGCAGCTCAGAGTAGAAGTCAACTCCCTCAGAGACTGAGTGGAGGGGCTTGTCTTGGGGCTCGTAGTAGCTGCTTATTTGCTGCTCTACAAAGCACCGGTGATGCAGAGGTTGATCCTTGAAGCTCCCATCGTAGCCCTTGATGTGGTTCCTTTTGAACTCCAGCACCGTCTTGGTGTAGGTGTTGAGAGTGGAGACAGCAGAGGCCATGCAGCAGGTGAAAGAGGCCCAGGCCATGCTACAGGAGAGACAGAAGAACAGCACATCCTGTGAGAAGCCAAGCACGGTAAAGAATTGAACAGCATGCACCATGGTGCACCTGATTTGTCAGGCAGAAGCTGCTGGGCATGGACATGAACTAGAAAGACTAAAGCTCTTAACATTCCAGTTATTAGGGTTTATCCCACCACAAGATCTTTCTTAGATTGGTGGGGTACATACTGGTCATCCCTGTCACAGGGAAGGGAAAGATAGAGGGGAAAATAAAAAGGGAAGCAGGGAAGTCTAGTAACTGGTCAGAGCAGGACAGCAGAGCTTGGAAGCAAATTCTGTATTGCAGAGCTACTCAGTGTCTTCCTGGACATGAGGCCTGTCCATGAGCATAACCAGATGGCTATGCTGACATTTGATGTCCACAACTAGAACACGACACTGGAGAGTTTAAGTCTTAAGAATTGATGTGGCCATCATCAGTACAGCGTGGCAAATTAACCCTACACTTTCCATGGGCACGTGCAAAGCTCATGCAACTGCTTTTCAAGTCAGTTGTGGCATATCAGCTGTGGTTGGCTTCTTTAGCCTTTAGAGAAATGAACACTGAGCCACCTGTTTTTTGCAGTTGCTCTTCATGGCTACAGTGTCCACATCTTTAAGCATGGGTCTAGGACTGACACTGCAGGAAGAGGCCCTTTGGACATTGGTTAGCAAAAATGCCAAACCAGCATCCAGCTTATTTAAACTGCAGAAAAACAAGGCATGCTTGAGAGCATCATCACAGGTGTGACATTGGCCTCTGCACACAGGGAAGAGCTGAGACCAAACAGGGCAAACCAGCATAGGGGCAAACCTGATTAGTCATCAGGGTTGAAGGCACTTGTTTAGGTGTGACCACATTGCTTTGCCAGTCCTGGGTAGCTACTCATTTAAGTAACTCAGCAACTATTTGTTAAACCAGGGGATGAGGCAAAGACGGGTTATTAGCAGTAGGAGAACCATGGTACACCTGTCTTTGCAAACACGGAAGATCAAGAGGGGAGGATGTGAATTTTTACAGTATAGCGTGGCTGAAGCCCAAAAAGCTGGGGAGGTGAAGATGGCTTCAGAGTTTACATACTAGAAAGCCCAACCGTAGTCCCATGAGTGTGGTCTCCAGTCCTCTGGTCCCAGATTAACTGTTGCCTGGAAGACTTGAGTGTACATCATGTGTGCCACCATCCCAAGGAGACCTGGACGCAAAAGACAAGAAAGCAAAGAAGTTACAGGAGGAGCCAGAGCTGCATACTTTAGCCTTGTGTGGGAGAGGAGGCTCTCCTGCTGCTGTGGTTCCAAGCCTGCAGTAACACACTTACCTGACAGCACAGAGGAGACAGCAGCAAAGGCATTGAGCTTCAGCCCACAGACAGGATTGCCAGTATGCAGCATTTCCACCATCAGGAGGATGAAGCTGATGAGCAGCAAACTGATGTACAACATCTCTGATCCCAGCGACAGCCACAGGATTCCTGTCAGGAACCAGAGACTCCTCATATCAGTACAGAATGGCTTGTTCAAAAGAGAGTATGGGCAATTTGGGAAACTAACTTATAACAATTCCCTCTTCCCAATCCAACCCTGAAAAGATGTTGTTTGGAAAGAAGGAAAACAACAAACACCCAAAAGCAATCCCCCAAGCCCGTGAGCAAGGGCTCAAAGGATGCTGAAAGGGATAGAGAGTCTGTCTCAGAAGATGACTTGACTGGTCTGGCACTGCACAAGCTGAGAGGAACTAAAACAGTTGTCTGAAAACATTTTTCATAAAAAGCAAAGAAGCCATGGGGAAAAAGGCAGGGGGAAAGCTGCTGAGTACTAGCACAAGACCTAGTGGTCATAGGTTGGCTGTGAACACATCTGAGCTGGATGTTAGAAGGTTCTTACCCATTAGTGTAGTGTTGTTCAGAATAGGTTTCTAATCACAACAATGGAAGCAAATTACTTTTAACCTGGGACTCAAATAATTAAGAAAAGAACTGTATAGTTTGTCCACGGTGGTGGCTGGGACCTGGCCTCTGGAATTCAGGAGGCCCCTTGCAAGCCTACATTCCTTGGGGTGGACATCCAGCTAGTGCAATAACATACACCACCCACCCTGCTGCTTGAGCAGAGTACAGGTACTTTCATGCTGGGATTATCAGTGGGACTTAAATGATGCCACAGTCCTCAGCTGAGTTCACTGTGCGGTAGAACTTGGAGGAGAATGAGAAAAGGCACTCTGTAAGCACAGAATGGTTTGGGTTGGAAGGGACCTTAAAGATCATCTAGTTCCAACCCCCCTGCCATCAGCAGGGACACCTTCCACTAGACCAGGTTGCTCAAAGCCTCATCCAGCCTGGCCTTGAACACTTCCAGGGAGGGGGCATCCACAACTTCCTTGGGCAACCTGTTCCAGTGTCTGACCACCCTCACAGTGAAGAACTTCTTCCTAATATCTAATCTAAACCTCCCCTCTTTCAGTGTAAACCCATTTCCCCTTGTCTTGTCATTGACTGTCATTGTGAAAAGTCCCTCCCCAGCTTTCTTGTAGCCCCTTCAGGTACTGGAAGGCCACTATAAGGTCTCCCCAGAGCCTTCTCTTCTCCAGGTTGAACAGCCCCAACTCTCTCAGCCTGTCCTCATAGGAGAGGTGCTCCAGCCCTCAGATCATCCTTGTGGCCTCCTCTGGACTCATTCTAACAGGTTCATGTCTTTTTTGTGTTGGGCTGTGGTAGAGTGCAGGATTCACTGAGGAAGAAATATGAATCTGACAAATGAAGCAGCACTGTGAACACTATTAGCAATTATTAATGGCTGTAGAGGAGACATTCAACTGGTGAAAAGGCATGTGAAGAAAACCCTCATTAATGTGGCACTGACTTGACTCCTTAACATCATTAGTGCCACAGAGTCACCCAGCTCTTTAGCAGAAACTGATGAGCTACATCCCCTGCTTAAAGGAGCTGGCTTGCTTGCAGCAGCACCATCTGGGAGACTGTTTCCTTAGAGGTCAGACTACCAAAAGTGTCCTGGAGGCTGCAGGCACCACACATGCACAGAGGTCTCTTGCATCATTTTGCAAGTCCAGGCTCCCTGCGCATGCTGTGGAATCTGGTTTTGTAATCCTACCTATGTAATGTAAAGCTGCTCTGCATACACCCAGCTCAGCCAGCTCAGCCTGCAATTAGCAGTCACACCACTGTCTCCAGTGCTGGCCCAACTATATAATGGCAGCTGTGCTGGAGGCCAAGGTCTTCTTAAGATGATGCTATGTGCAGGGAGGGGCGAAAGCAGATGATAGAGCTGTTAAAACCACAATGTCACTATGAGTGTCATGCTTAAGCTCACAGTGATGTTCCAATTAATTTGTAGGAGCTCAGTGTCTTACAGAACATGGCCTTTCTATCAAAGTTGGGCTGCAATTAGACAACGAGAAGTAGGAGGAGTGTGAGCTTAAGCTTACAGTGATATTCTAATTAATTTGTAGGAGCTTAATGTCTTACAGAACATGGCCTTTCTATCAATGTTGGGCTGCAATTAGACACGGAGCAGTAGGAGGAATGTGAGGAGGGACAGACAGAAAGATGTACAAAGACACGTAATTTGGTTGCATAAACTTATTTTCTTAGGAAAACAGTCTATAAGGAAGACATTGGAAGTAACAGAGCCAGAGGCTTGGGCAGGGAGTGAAGTACAAGAAGGTGAGAAAGCAGAACAATGCGTTGCAGAACAAATACTCCCTGTGAAGTGAGCATTTTGCAGCAAACACAAGAGTCATTCTGTAAATGCAGTTAAGTCATTCATTTTATGACAAAGTTGAAATCTATGTGACTTCAAAATTATTTGCAACACCAGCATTCCTTGAATTGTATGAATACTGTTTCCCAAAAGAACAAGCAGGGGAGGTGTTTCTACCCTGCTGTTGTGCCAAGAGTGACCCAGGTTAATCTGCAAAGCGATGCCACTGCCTGCCACTCGTATTGGAGCCCTCACGTGGGAATGCGCATCGCTTTATAGAAGCAGGTCAGCAGTCTTTGCCAGTGGTTTTTTTTGCAGGTCCCCCAACCCAAGGAGGTTCACTGGGCAGCTACAGTGAGGTATGGGAATTTGCTCTTACCTCTCTCTGCTGGTGGTGAAAGCTCAATAAAGCTACGGCATTTCTCTTCTAAAACACAAAAACAAAGGTATTAGTTTGCAAAACAATGCAGGGTACGTAGGGAAAAGAAAATCTCTTCCTCTCACACTCTTTTCACTGCATAGCTCCAGTCATCCCTGTGTCTACCCATCATATCTTCTCACCTCTGCTCTCTTTCTGACCATCTTTCCAGACCTTCACTGGAGCAAGGTAAGGGAAGGCAATGTCTGCCTGGAAAACTAGAAGTGGCCTTTCCAGAAAAAAACTTCAGTAATCTGTAAATCTTACAAGCCTCTGGTGAATACAAAAGTTTGTTGCTACTCATTCACAACATTACTGTGGTTCAGACCTATTAAGGGTGTAGCTTATAACAGACTGCAGACCCACCACTTCTGCTGAGGACATGGATTCCCACTCAACCCAGGTTCATCAGAACAGTTCTAGCAGTTCTAGCACTGCTTCCCAAAGAAGAAACCAAAAAACCCCAAAACATCCCAAGTGAAATGCTGCATTGAGAGAGATGTGAGTTACTCTTCTGTGGCAGAGAATCACACAGAAATATGGTCTTCTGTCCTCACATTCTATGCATGCTGTTTGGACAGATGATGTTCATGTTTGCTTTGGCTTTTTATGTTGGCCAGGTGCAAACTATTCTCACCTGAGGGTCTATCATTATTATCTGTAAGTCTCTTACTGCATACTGCATTACTGGATTTGAGGGTCTTCTCTACTTGGCACAGTATTTTCTCCCAGTAGTATCAGCCTGCTGCTTTTCATATAAGAATCTCATGTTCTTAATTTCTATCCCCAGTTCTAATCTCTGCCGATCTCCTGTATTACTTTTGTCATCCACAGCTCTCAGGACACTGCCCAGTTTAGTGCCATCTGCAGTCTTCATTAACTTGCGGTTTGCTACTTCACCTAGAACTTTAATGAGGTTATTCAGTAATGGCTCATCTAAACTGATCCTGAGATTAACCTGAATAATGAAATCTTTCTCCATCTTAACTAAACTCCTTTTGCTCATAGCAGCCCCTTTTTTGTTGTTGTTGTTTATGTGCTTGCTTCAAAGACCCACAGCAGTGGGTGGATTGTATTTGGTTTACAGGAAGCAGGGGACTGAGACTGTGTGCTCTACCCCATGCTCTGCTACAATCCAGATGTAATACACTCTTTGCATTCCTTCAGGAATTGAGGTTATTCCAGGACTGCCTGGTGGCCAGACAAGTCTTTCAGAGAAAACTGTCAAGGGATGTAGGACCATTCCCACAAGCACCATGGAAACACATCCCAGCCCAAACCAGTCCCAAATAAACATATCTCCTTCTGCAGCATGTCTGGAAATGCTCATAATGGAACAGCCCTCTCGTTAGGACATGACAACCTTACTGGTACCACCCCTCTTCTGTCTGCTTTTATTCTTCAGTTCATTATTTTCAAACTCTGCTGACAACAGTTAAGAAAATGAGAAACGACACGACAGTGACTTAGTTAAAGAAAGTGAGATGTTTGTGCTTGGGGAGAGCTGAAGGGAGGGCAGTCGGCTCAGGAGAATGAGCCTTCATTAGTATATCTTTAGATACAAATCTCCCTGTTGGCCACCTTCCGGATTAGTTCTGATCCTTGATGTGTGTGCAAGGCTGTAAAGAGCATCTGTTCACTGCAGAGCATCCACCTGGCATGGCACAGGTTTCAGCAGAAGGACTTCAGCAGGGCTGGGCAGAAGCAACTCAAGGGTGAAGAGAGGCACCCGAGAGGTCTAGGATAGGCTGAATGACCAGCCCCAGGCTCCAGGGTTTACAGTGCCAGTCCCACGTGGTCAAAAATCACAAGTGAAACTTGTCACAATATCACAAAAACAACTAAAAACATTACAATACTGCAGCTCTAATCCACAGGTCAATTTGCCTCCTCGCTTTAGTTCCTCTGGGTTCAGATCCTCCAAGTTTGCTCTGTATCCTTGAGGCTATAAGGCATATAAGGATATAAGGCAGAACTTCTCTTTCTCTCTTCATTTTTTTTTAAGAAAAGCCCAGTCCCTGTTCAGTTTACAAAACCTCTAAGTTTGGTGATTTAAGGAGAACACCAATTATTGCAGTCCTCACAGTGTTAACAATAAACTGACAATACTGCATAAAATCACCCTGCTTAGATTTCTGAGGGGACATGCACGAATGTGCCCTGGAGAGCATGAAGTAAGCTGTGTGTAGGAATGGATGTACAGGGAAAGGGAAAAGAGGCTCACTCCAGTTCACATCAGGCTGAATGATGCTATTACAAAGTCACTGCCACCACCACCACCACTTGCACTTCACAGCCCTTGTTCCAGACCACAGGGCACACCAGAGACAACCATTCTCCCTTGCCTCCCTCTGTAAACATCCCAATGAAGGATAGAAACACAATGACCACAGCAGTGCACAGGGCCGATGCCATCTAGGAAAATGAAGGAGGCTTTTCTCCCAGCCTCCCACCTTTCATTTCCAAACTTTTGCAGAGTAAATACAAGGGAAGAAGTTGTGGGTGCCTGAGCAAGCCACTACCTGGCCCTTCCATGCTCTCTTCACAGGAAAGCCACATCCCCGTGTGGAAGTATCTGAAGGCAAAGCGGTCATCCCCAGTCTCCCAGCTGTAGTGCACCACATCCTGGGATGAAACATTGCTAGCACCTGCATCAGGTGGCATGGGGACACTGATGCATTTGGTGGCTTTGCTCTTTCCACACAAAGGTTTGGGCACTTTCTGGGTCCCAGTGCACCAGTAGCTGCCAAGCAAGGCAGTGGTAGAGAGGCTGAGAGCCAGCAGGTTCAGGATGACAGCCAGGAAAGCACGGCGCCATGGCAATCCCTTCAGCAGCTCCATCTAGAACACATAAACAGGAGGGACTGTCACACCAACCATTTGACCCACCTAACCTTATGAATACAAGTTCTTTGCAGTGCGCACCTCTGGGGAAGGGATATGAGCATTCTGCCCTCCTCACAACATCCCAACAGCTCACCCAGCATGGAAGAACCATTTCCTGAAAGCCAGGGCACCTTGAACCATTTCTGAATACCTCTACTGGGGAAAAGAAGGTGACCCAATAGACATAGCAGGACTGAGTGCACTGGAGTGTGCGAGCACATAAGCAAATGAAAGGGACATCATATTCACTCCATCTAAGAGACAGTAGGGAAAAGCTGTTAAACAACCTCCCTAAACACCATGTGTGGCCTTTAGATGGGGCATGATAGATGGTCTAATGACAATGACTAAATGACAATTTTTGCTACCAAGTGTCCCAAAACACTTTTTCAAGAAGTTCATTACTGTACCTAGGGAGGTAGGGAGCGTATTGATTTCACTGTGGTGAAAGGCAGGGAAATGTGGATCACTGAAGGTCACACATCAAAGCAGTGACTTGCTCAGGAGAGACACCCAGTTATCCAGTCCTGACAGCTCAAGTTCAAGCCCCAGAGCAGCACCTCCCACCTGAGCAGACACTGCTATGCACATCAGAAATTTGTTAGGGTAGTAGGATGACAGTGTCTCTGCTCTCACACAAAGTGCCAAACATTTGGGGTTTTTTTAAGAGCAAACATTGCCACAAACACTCTTCTCAGTTTCATCTCATTAGAAAAAGTAATTCAGAAAGCAGTTTGTGTACCAGGGTTCTGTGGTCTTTCTCACTCAGATGAAAGCTTAAGATTTTACGGTTCCTGCAAAACCCTGCACTGACTTCTGAGAACCTCAACTTATCACTCCATGGATTGATTAGATGTCATCTACCCACACATCAACTTTCATGCAATCAACGCATGCTTCATCCCACATGGCACTCCCTATGTTTGGCACAACTTCATCCAGATACTCCTACCCTTTCCTATTTATGACTCTCAAAATCTATTTGGCCATGAATAGCTTCAGTTTGTACAGACATTGCCTGCTGCCGGTCCTCTTCACGTAACTTCAGTTGACTCACACAATGTTGAACATGTGAGAAAGGCCCGGCATACTGTGGACACTACTATAAATAAACGATACGAGACTGAGCTTTGTATTGTTTGTGACTGCACCACAGCCAAAAGGGGTGCAGTTAGAAGCATTTGTTCTCGTAACCAGCAAACTCGGAAATGCGGTCAGTAAAGATGGTGCTGAAGCTCCTCTTGGAAAGCAGGAGTTGATTAGCATCTCATCACACTGAGAAAACAGTGCCTGATCCAGAACAGCCTCTTCGAAGGCAAGAAAATACCCAGCTCTCAAAAAATTCCTGTATTATCTTATGCTCTGGCTTCTTTTGTTCCCTAGAGAATTTCTTTCTTACAGCAATGGAGATGCTGCACCCTGGAGAGGGTAGTGTTTCAGTGATACCGTAACTAATGACTTCCATGTTCTGAAGGCATATTGGATGTCACCATCTTCACAGAGCAGATACTTGCTAGGAACACTTAATTATGTGAAAGTTTCTGGCTAAGGTTGGTGGCAAGTTCCTCACTGAAAGTTTTTTCAGTGGAAAATTTGGCTTATGACTGAAAAGGAAATTATAGATAAAATTGCTCTCCTCAAAACCATGATTTTTCATCTGAAAATAGAAAGCTTCAGCACACAAAGTCTTTCAGATTTTCATTAATGCTTGATTATAAGATTTTATGTCATCAGGTTTTGGGTTGCTCATGCTTTTATTTAAAAAAAGAGAAATCTTTCCAGTCATAATATTGACAAAAATAATTTTTCTAATTTACAATATTGGGCAAAAAATATTCTCTCCAGTTGATTTGTGATAGTAGTTGAAAGGCCATATAATTTCAGAACAAGTGATAAGGAAAAAAAAAAAATAAACAAATGTGTCAGAAGACGGAACTGGATCAAGGATGCAGAAGACATAGGTAATGAGAAGCAAATCTGAACTATTCCTTCATGAGAACATTGTCAGAAAAATTTCCCTCCAAAAAATCCGAGTACTTACTGACAACAACTGACCATAGTAACTAGATAGCCCCAAAACCAAAAGGAAAGAGAGTTGAATTTACCTTGCAGCAAGTCCTCGAAGTCCTGTTAATTTGGATGAGCAATACAGAAATGGTACTCACACTTTGTCTGCTGTTTTGCTCGTCTCTAAATTCTCCAAGAAACCCAATTGCTTCAAAAGCCCTTTCTCCTTTGTCTCCTCCCTTCGTCCCTTGCGGCCCCCCACCCCCCTCCAGTGATTATTAAATACTTTCCCTCCAGCCAGCAGCTGTTTTGTGGAAAGTGGTCATTTTATAATCCACAATGCAATCACAGCACAGCTGTTCTGGGAGATTATATGGGAAGTGATTGATGCTGCAGGCTGGGATTAAGTGCAAAAGGGTGATCTGTATTGACTGAGTAGGAAGTTTCCGTAAAACACAGAAAGATCTCGGTCATCTCCATGCATTGGCTGTTTGGGAGCTCGTATGGAGTGAGTGTCCCTCATAGTGGCAGCTTTTACCAAGGCATGAAGTTCACCAGGAATCTCAGCTCCCAGCAGCTTCGGATAGGATGAATTTGGGAGGAATCACACAGAATCACAGAATGTTAGGGATTGGAAGGGTCCTCGAAAGATCATCTAGTCCAACACCCAAGGAGAGACAGAAGGATTTACTCTCACCCCAGTTGCCCTCTGAGCTCTTGTCCTGAAAGTTTAAAGGTTCCCACAATACCTGGGAGTGCTGATATATCTCATTTGGTATCAGAACAATGAAAAATAAGAATAGGATCAACTCTCATGAGAAGAAACTGTCACTAGAAGGCATGGAGCAGCGTGGCATTGGATGCAACTGCAAGGGAGAGGAGCATCCCAAAAGTATGCACCCCGTCTTCCCCATACAGGCTTTGCTCAGTGCCAAGCAGGTGAGGCTCCCACCACCACTGGGAGGATGGGAGGGACTGAGGCAGATTCCTTGCATGCCTGCCCTGCTGCTCTGCCAGGACAGAGGAAACCGGTGGTCCAGCTGCTCTCATCCCCCTGCTTCCAACACCAGAGCCCAGAGGCTGGGGCCAGGTGTACCAGCAGCTCTGGGTGACAGCACAGCCTGTCACAGCCCCTGCACAGCACAGGCAGCAGACAGGGACCACAGGTCCATGGTCCTGGTCCCATACGCAGGCTGTGCTGTCACAGGCTCCTGACCCTTCCTGCCCTGAGCAGAAGGGTCACTAGCTCTGCAGTTATTTTAATCCTAGTCACTGTATAAGCTCCTCTAATATAGATAATAATTTCTAAGATGGGCTAACTGAAAGCAATGCTAAATGCTTCTGTGCTCCATGGACTGTCTTTAGGTTTTTTGATTAATAAAAAGGTTCTGTTTGACACAGATGTATCACATTTATTACAATAGGTGAATAAGAGCTGATGCTGCTTAAAAGGTGAGTGGTAATTTTTATTTGTATTCATTGTTCAGTCTCTCTGCATCTGGACACCTTAAATTTGGCTTCTAAATGCTCAGTAAAAAACAGCATGATTTTCAAGCTCAAGAATAGATAAAGTCCAGCTCTATACTGATAATTCTTAATGTTAGCATGTTCCTAATTTTAAACTTGATGAGTCTCATTAAAATACAGGATGCTATGTCATTTTCTAAATCTGGGATCATGGCATATATATTGATGAAATATATGGATTTATATGGGTAAGAATTCAGATTTTAAAATAAATTTATCAGAAATATGCTATGGTTTCAAAAATATACATATATCAGATTTAGTATTCTGATTAA